TATGGAGGGCCAAGGCGATCCTTGACATTTTCTCTTCTCTTCGAGGAACGCTCTTTGTCTCTTCTTGGAGACCTGCCTCGTTCTCTTTCCTTTCTGGGACTTTGTTCTCTCTTATTTTCTTTCTTCCCTTTCTCCTTTCTCGACGAAGGGCTCCCGACCTTGGAGAGGAGCGTTTCCTCACCATTTATGTACTTTTCGCTTTGGCAAGCACCTCCGCCATACTAGCCTGGGGGTTTTTTGAGATGGAAAACATCAGATCTTTTGACTGAACTCCCAGACCTGCTATGAAGACTGTAATAGCAAATTTTTCGTTTAGGACATCCACCTTCAAGGATTCTGAGTTGAACCGTTGGACATAAGACCGTAGGTTCTCATAAGGTCCTATTTCACATTTAACAAATGATAGCTCAGTTTCCTATAGGTCCGAGTTCCGATGAAGTGGGACACAAACGAGATTGACAGCTCCTTAAAAGAGGAAATTGAGGCTGTGGGGAGTCTGTTGAACCATGCTAAGGCTGAGCCCTTCAGGGTGATAGCAAAGGCCCTGCATCTCACTGGATCTTGATATTCATGCAACTCCATTTGGTTTCTTGTAGGTGTTGAGATAGTCCACGGGATCTTTTGTCCCATCGAAAGCATCCATCTGCGGCATTCTGAATTTAGGTGGGAGAGGAAAATGCAGTACCCAACAGTGAATGGGGATTCGATTTGCTGCACCAAGACATCCATAGTGATTGGGGCCTTACTCTTCACTGCCTCCTTCATCTGGCTGAGCTCTTGCTGGATGTCTTTGAAACGTTGTTTCCAGTGGTGTTCTCTTCTCTCCTGTTGATAAGGGAAAAAGTCGTTCCTCTCCCTTTCCTTTTATTAACTTTGCATTTTTTCGTTGTGACCATTCCTAGGGGGTAGGCGAGGTTCTTGCCCCAAGGTATGACTATTCTCTCCCACCTCATTAACTTCTTTGAGAAGGTCGAGATATGGTTGCTCCCTTGGTGGTGAATTATTCTGGCCTCCTTGGGCCGGTTACGCCTCTTGTGGGCGTTGTAGGAGCTTTAAGAGCTCTTCGTTCTGTTTTATCAAACATTCATTAACAAGACGAAGGGCCTCCATCTCATTATTCATGGGAAGCCCCCATGGGGGGATTGGCTTCTTGTGCATTTTCAAGTTGCCTATTATTTGCGGCTTCCTGTTGATCTTGCATCCGTAGAGGATTGGTCTGACTTCGGCTCATGTTTCGCGTTGATACCATCAGTCACTGAAAAATCAGCTTTATTTGTAACAGGAACAGTCGTTCCCACAGACGGCACCAAACTGATGACGTATATCAACGTGGATGAGCTTAAGGTGAAAGTAATTTGAGATGAGCATCGATCAGAGCTACGAGGCTCGTGTATGATGCTACCGTGAAGTATTCCCGGGGATTAAAGGGGTGCACACAATGAAAATATAATGGTTCACCGGCTTAGGAGCTCGTCTAGTCCACTCTTCAATGGAGGTTCTTGCTCCTTTTGTTTTATTCATGATGATTACAAAGTTGCTATGACTTCCTATTGCCACTAGGGTTCTCTCCCTGTTAAAAGGTGTTACAGTGCATTTATAGGGTCATTCCCTGCTAAGTGGGATCTTGACCGAGATTCTTGTCTTTACTTCGTGGGATTCTCCCTAATTCTAAGAGAAGATCTTGGTTGGTTGAGATTAGGTGCCTTGATTATAGCTTCCTAACACTTTAGGAACCTCTCGTGATTATCTAGTTGTTACCTTGGTTGTTCTTGCCCTTGCTTATCTCGAAGGACCTCCAGTTCTACTCTTCCAAGTTCTGCTTGCCTAGTCTGACCTCCTGAGCTGGTACTTGAGATTTATTTTGAGGTATCATCTACAATAAATTTGAAGATTTAAGGCAGGCCTGGTGGAACCAAATGGATGAGCCTCCTTAAACACCATATTCTATCATGCATGCCAGCCCGTTTATATATAGAGGTCAACAAATAAATTTTCACGCGTGTGAAACCAAGCTTAGCTTAGCTACAAGAAGAAATTTGACCAAAAAAGCTATACTCTTTTTTTTGGTTGGGTTCAATTGTAAGAACTGTTCAGATTAATTTATGCACATTTTGATTATTTTTTTTTCGATTCGATAAAAATAAGCCAACAACTACACTTTATAATAGATATATAGATAGATAGATGTGAATTTGGTGACTGCGAAAGGCTTGTATCACAATTTATTAGAGTGTTTACACCAACCCGAACTTGAACAAAACTCGAATCCTTCAACTCAACTATCATCCATGCTTAAATTTTGAACTCAGATTGCACAACTTGAGTTGACAAAATTGGATTTAATTAATAAGGAGTTCAATTTCCAAATTAGATTCTCAACTGAGATTTGGGCTAAAGTAGAAATTACTAATTAAGGGTGGGTTTAGCTTGTGTTAGGAAACTCAAGAACTTTGAATACCATCTAAATTTATATCAAGTTAAGTTTTTTTATCCCTAAACTCAACCTAAGCAACACAAATTCCAATCAAAATATTCATAATCGAGTCACAAAAAGGATTATTTGTCCAAATTACACCTTAGTAAAGGAAAAAAATTATCTCTTTGGGGACATTCAATAAAATTGAAACGATACATAGAAGATTAGTATGACTGTTTTGAAAAGATAACAGTCACAAATCGAGAAGTAGTAAAGACAAGATTTAGAGCCTCTTCACTATTTTTTCCTTCTTTGGTAAACCACTCACCACATTTTAAGCTACTCACTAATATATAATGTATCCCACCTAAATTGTAAGAGATCCCACACCGAAAATTGACACCCATTGCATCTTACTTTGAATAAGGTTGTGAGCATCTCCTTCAATGATAATAGAACAATGATGTTCTCCTGGGCAAATGTCAGAGTAGCTTCAATACCTTCTGTTTCTTTTTTTCTTTTTTATCAAGCAGGAGAAAAATTACGACATTCAAGTCACGACCTTAAGGCCGAAAGCGGCAGCAGAAACTATTAGGTCTTTCACTAATCTCGACGAAGTCTTTTTTTTTTTTTTGTAACGGTGAGGAATATCTAGATCAATTTAAACATATTTTAAATAATTTCTTCTTCGATCAAATGAAAAACATGAAAAAGTCTTTCTTTGAAACATGCATAAATAGCAATTTTTATTTTTTTTCCCAATAACATCTCAGTCTCATGTTCTTTTTTTCAAGGGATACCCTCATCATTCTTGAAATTGCATATACATCCCCCTCTTAGATTTTATGTCTCAACGTGACAGAAAAAAACACATTAAATTGGTAATATATACCTCTAATGATTTGTTTTTCATTAACTAATATTCCATAATACCTTCCATTGGATTATAAGCAGGACTCAATCAAAGATCCACTATTTCACATTCAATTAGAAAAAAAAAGACAACTGCTGATCAATCCAACGTCTGGTTAATTTTACACTAACAACCAAACACTAGTTTGTCACCATTCAACACGAATAAGTTGCTATCATAGTGCATCATCTTATCAATTTTTAACTCTTATCTCATAAAAAAAAATATAGAAAAATAAACCGAAAGACATCAATATTAAGAGCCCATTTATCGAAAAATATTTTTGGACCGTATTTTTATTTTTTAACTAATAAAAATGCCATGCTTGTATAATTTTTTATTATTTCTCAACTAAAGATTATAAATTATTATCTGGATGAATGTAGAATGACAAAACAGGTGCAGTCTTACCCCCCAATATTAAAATCACCTAATCATTAACATAACATAATCCCACCCCTCATCAGACTAAACATTGAATGCAAAGATTACTCATGTCATCACGTTGACTTGTAAATAAGTGAATCTCACATAGATAGTTGAGATTTTTTTGCCCATTTGTTATCTTATTATTGAATACGCGAGGATGATAATATGGTGTCACTTATACACCCAATATTGTTTCCCTTGTCTGAAAGGAAAACATTAATCGAAGCCCAACTCTTTGTATACTACGTGGTGTGAGTTTCATATTTCAATAACGTCATATTCAAAATATATATGAAGTATTTACTATGCATAATTTACTTGAAGACACAATGTAATATAAAATCTAAACACTCAAAATATCGATCTTATTATATAAAATAAAAAAAATTGAAATTAATTTATACTTGTATTTTTTTGTTTAAAAAAAAAGTGACAATTTTCACAAAATAATTTATCTTTAAAAAAAATCAACATATGTATAACAATGTCTACAATAAAAATTATATTAAGTGACAAATTAATTTAAAATAAGATAAAAAAAAAAGAATGTAATAAAAATAGACAAAATATATATAATAGAAATAAGATTAAAACTACTAACTCTATAATAGATATCTTTATGTATTCATTAAAAAAAATTAACAAAACACCATAAAAGGCGATGCCAGAATCTATATCCGGAGAGAGAGACAGAGTGAAAGAGAGAGATATGGTATCAAATCAAAAACCACCATAAAAGCCGATGCGAGAATCCAAATCATCAATTTCCCGCATTCCCAAAACAAGAAAAAGAGAAATTGAAAGCAAAGGCCCAGCCAGCTCTTCACATTTATGATTACCCACTCATCTCCCACACTACGGGTTCACTGCAACAAAGAATCCTGTATATATATATATATACTTCTCTCCTATCATATATACACATAGAGAGATAAAGAGTTTAGAGAGAGAGAAAGTGACCTGTGAACTCTTTCTCCATGTGTGACCGTGAATCAATAATCAAAACCCTTCTCGTCAATTTCTTCATTAAATGCCACCACCTCTCACCATTAATGACCGCCTTACACGAAACTACCCGCTGCCCTAAAACCCTCATTTAATTCACGCTTGCCAACCCTCCATTAAAGCCCCCTGACCCCATCTCCACCACCACGCCCCGCTCCTCCTCGTCACCCTCACCCCCATCTCCGACCGTTCATTTCCCGATGATCAAAAACATTGTCTCCCACGTGGGTCTCAATCCTACCGTCTGTTAAATCTCTCAGGTGACAGCAAAGCCTCTGGATCACCACTCCTCAGCCGGCTCGATGAAAACAGCCCAGCTGCCACCGAAGCCGACGATCTCATGAACATCGGGCTCGCGAACGATTTACTCCGCCGCGAAGAGCCACCGCCTCCGGCTGAGCCGGCGTACCTAACACTTGATTCTGACAACGGAAAAAAGCCACCACCGCTACGCCGCCGGAAAAATGGAGACTTCATTCCTCTGTAGTATCTGAAAGAGAACACCCTAGGCTTCGTTAACGAACTGAACGGGGATGGGCGTTTGCTCCAGAAACCACCTCCTCGTCTATACCGCCACGGCGACGCCGTCGCAGGCTCTAGCACCAACCTCTCCGACCCTAAATTGCGCTCAAATCCGAACGAGTACGATCTCTTCAACAGAAAATCGCGGCCGTTGAATCGGTCCTCTGACTGGTTGTTCCTTCTTGGCGAAGCCTCGTGCGTGATTTCTCCGAAACTTGCGTCATTTTCCGGCGGAGATTCATTCAACGGTTCGAGAATTGTGCTTGCCATGATTATATCATCGAGGCTTGGCCGAATTCTCGCGGCCATCACTGGAACAAAAGGCGATTCCGGCCGGAATATTACAGCACGACACAGAGGACAATTCGCGTGAGAACGAAGCCATATGTCGATACAGTCCACGTGAAACGCGTGCGAACAAACCGGAAGTGTTCGGACATAGTCGTTCTCTTCGAACTCCAGAAGACACACTGCGCATTCATGGACGTTGGATTTTCTGGTGTATATCGAAAGAGGAATGGTTTTGATGACGGACTCGTCGAGGCCGTACGGCGAAAGGACATGAAACGCGTCTGATGGATCGAAGGAGTAAGGAAGGGACTGAGATTCGATGTCACCGACGGAGGAGGACGGGGGACGGCGCCGGCGCCACCGGCGGTAGCGACGGTGGAGGTGGAGCATGTGGCGAGAGATTAGGCGTGAGTAAGTGATGATGACAAAAGCGGTGGCGATGATTACCACCATAACTATCAACGGTGGACTGAAATCGATGGAAGATTTGGACGGCAACGGCGGTGGTGACGAGGATTGGTGCATATATGCCATGGAAGGTGATGGGGCCCACTGTGTATCGTAATGTTCCGGTGATGGAGCAGGGGCTATGCTGATCATGGTGGTTTGACGAGTGCTTGGGTCTGTTGATGGCGGTGGCGGTGGTTTTTGGTTGTTTATTGAGGGGTTTAAAGTGAAGTAGGAATGCGTAGTGGTTGACTGAGGGGGTTTGTGGTGCGTCTGCGTCCCGTCTTCTTTACGGTTTGTCGATGGAGTTTGTGGGCGAAAGACACGTCAGCATTTGGGAATTTAATGCGATGAGCTCTTATCCAGTGTGGGTGGTACCACTCTCTTACCATGGTTAAAGTCTTGTCCGCTTGCCACGTACGGAGATGTCACATGGATTGCACGTGTCTATAGTTGACCTTTGTTGCTGGGAATAAAAACAAGGTTTTTGTGTGACCTGGATGATTTTGATTGCGCTATATAGTCAAATGAGCTTATGGAGTAGTGGTCGTGGAAAGCATGTGATTTGGTTCACGTTTGAAAGTGGATTTTGATTTTAGAGGGAATCACACTTTGTACCCAAAAGGTTTAACAATTATCAAATTATACCCTCGAAATTAAATTTTTCGCATTGCATACTTAATTTATTAAAAGTGTTATAATGTAACTCTTTTATTATTTTTCATTGCTTATTTCGTCGAAAATTATGTTAATGAGATCGACATAACGAACAACAGAAGCTAATATAAGAGACATATTGTAACACTTTTAATGTATCAAAATTCAATGTAAAAATTCTTATGTTTAAAAGTACAAAATAAATTTTTTAGGGTCCAAAATATAATTTACCCTTGATTTTATGTGCATAGTTGATAGTTGCATTGTACAGATTGACTACCTGTTTCTTGAGTTTGGCCATGAATCATGATGGTGTGAGTGGACAACGAACTGGGTTTTGAGGAAATTATGGTTGTTAGGTCTGTTAGTAGGGATGACGGTGGATGGAAAAAAAATGGATATTTGTTCAAATTTTTTTTATTTAAATCGGTGATGAATTATATGTATTAGACGGTAGACGTATATGAAAATATTCGTATAAACCCGTATGGGGATGAGGGCGGGAATGGACTTACCCTTATCTCCGCCCCGCCCTGCCCATGCTACCTATTAAATATTTATATATATATAAATACTCCAAAGACCTAACTAATCATATTTACTGTAACTACCAATTTAGAAATATAATAATTAAACTAAAAAGTGACATTGCTATGCGGTAATCTTATTAACTTTTTTTCTTAATTGTTCTTTTTTCTATATGTGCTCACTGATTAAAACTGTTAGAAGTTTGGATTGATCATGCTCTAAAAACATATAAGATAGTTTTTCATTTCATCGTTGATAGAATTATTGAATTAGCAAAATTTTAATTTTTCATCTTTTAACATTTTATGATTGTAATATGAATTGTAATAACAAAAACTCTTCTACAAAAATTCAAGTGTAGTGCTATTATTTGCTTAATTCAATTTTATTTTTCTTTTCTTCCTTTCTCTCTAATAATTTCATTTCTCTTTTTGTGGTCGAATAACACTTTAAATAGAATATTACATTGTTTTGACTTTTACATTTTGTAATCTACATTATGTTGTGTTAGATTATGTTAGAATATTTTTGGATTATTTAAAACATTAGATCTATTTAGAATTTTGGATTATGTTACTTGAGTTTGGGCTTAGGCGGGTACGGGGAAAGCGGGGGACGGTGACAAGGATTAGAAATTTACCCGCGGACGGGGATGGACGGAATTTTTTTAAGCGGGTACAGGAATAAAAATTACACTCCCTCACCCCCCACTTTGATCCACTGGCATCTCTATCCGTTAGTAATTCAACAAAAATAAATATAAACTAATCAAATGTTGGTCTTGTGTTAAAGAGTTTAGTTTGGATTTGGATTGTTCAATAGTAAAAAGCCTACGTGCCTTTTGGGCCCATCTGGTCGAAGAACACTTCCCCCCCTCTCTTACGGGTGTTGTTGCCACGGAGTTGACAGAGTCGTTTTCCTCGAATTTTGTCATAATCGTGTACTCGACGAAAAAATTTTATAAGCAACATTGTTCTCTTCACTCACAAGAAATTATTGGATTCGATTTTCGTTCATTGTCCAAAATTTCTCACTGCTAACCTCTCGTGACAGTCTAGGTCATGTCTCCGTCTTGGTGTAGCTAATCATTCTAGAGAAATGATGTATTTACAAAAAAAAACTGACTAAATAAATGTGAATAGTTGAATCAACCAACTCTATCAAAAAAAAATTACACATGATGTCGCTAATAAATACAAATGCGAGGAAGTGTCATGTTATTTCACCCTTATTTTTTATAAATAATTAGGCTAAGGGTTTTTTTTTTTTGTGTAAACCAATTTTAATCCTACTGAATTTTTAATATATAAAAGATTTTCCCATCACATCCTTCATGATAGGATTTAGCCTCATTTGTGACTGTCGGGACGGTTTGACGTCTTCCTCCAAGTAGATTTAGTTTGCGCAAATGAGGGGACTAATTCCTTTGATATCTGCAATTGTCCAACCTATTGCGTTCTTATGCCTTCTCAATACCTCCAACAATTTCTCTTCTTGCGTCGGCTCCAAGGACGAATTTATCACCACTGGAAATGCCTTGTGCTCCCCGAGAAATGCATACTTCAATGTGGAAAGTTAGTGATTTCAATTCCAAATTTGGTGTTTGTACAGTTGATGGGAAAATTCTTTTTTATTGTTGTGGAAATTTCTCAAATGTTGGGGCCCAACTGCCTACCCCTTGTAGAGTTTTCGGTTCCTTTTCATCAACAAAATCTTCATCTCCCAAATTTGAATGGCAAAGTAATTCCATATGGTCCCCCACCAGAGTGTCAAGACCTCATATACTTCCTCATCATCATTCAGTTGCTTGCAAAAGTTAAACACATTGAGATCCATCGTCATGTTCCCAAATGCAAGCCTCATTAATCCATTCCTACAATTGATCACAGTATTAGATGTAGCAAGGAAAGACTTACTTAGAATGACAAGAATTTGAGAACTATGATTAGCAACCGGATGAGTATCAAATACAATAAAATCAACGGAAAAATAAAATTTGTCAAAAACATCCTCAATTACTCCCCTTGGTGTTCTCACACTTCAGTCCGCCAATTGAAAAATGATTGAAGTTGGCTTTAACTCTTCCAATTGCAATTACTAGTACACCGAGAAAGGTAGGAGGTTGACACTTGCAAAAAGTTGCAAGTGGACACTAACCAACGTATAAGAGTTTGGTAGTTAGTGTATTTTCATTATTCATTTTACCCTCATCGCATGATTTAAGCGTAAAATACAGTTAATTTTCTTTTTTATGCGTTTGTTATTGAAGATTTTGTGGTGTTTGTATATCAATTTTGAATTTCAAATTCATGGGTCAAGTAATTTAGAATATACCGATATCGCAACAGTTAAGTTTTATGTAATTATGTACTTGTAATGACGTATATGTATCTTCTACTCAATTAAATAATAATATATCTATCTCGTTGATGTATATATTGGTATGATATACCTGAATGATCATGTATATAATTGAACACTAAATCTCAACACATACCCGAAGGTCTTACATAGTACTCTGAACATATTCTATAAAGCAAATCAATCCCACAGAGATCAGGTGTATAAAGTTAAAAACAAAAAAGATATCATGATGTATCCAAGAGACTATCTACTTGCTCCAATTCTGTCATTTATGCCTTTTAATAAGAGGTCTTGCAGATGACTTTCGTCCCTAAGCTTTTTGACGAGAATTCGTTCCATAGCCTTGAAACATTTTCGATAATGCAAGTTTTGCAGAAGCCAGTTCCAATGAAAATTCAACCATGGATTGCTATGAATCGTTGGATAGAAAACTATCCCCTCCATCCCCATCGTCAGAGTCGTCTCCTTTACATTCTGTTCTATTTCCTCTATTTTTCTTTGGCGTTAAAAGGTACTATGTTGTGTATCACTTTGTTACTCAACATTTTGAGGTGGAGAATGTAAGGATTGTTGGTTTGCTTGGTTTGGTGCACTTTGTCATCTACTTGTAGAGCTTCGAATTGATTTTCAAGATGAATTTGTGTACTATGCAATGGTGACTGATCTCTGAGCACAACTTTCCCTAACTCTGGTGGAAGCAGGCATAAGTGCTCCTTAATTTCATTCTCCGTAATTGATGCAATGCCCTGCTCCTCGAAATTAGAATAACTTTGCTTAGTGGTAGCAGCAACACTTACCTCACTAGGAGTTTCTTCTTCCTTTATCCTCCAAACTCGTTTCCCTTAAGAGTTGGAGTTAAAACTATGGTTTGGGTGCTTAAAATTGGACCTTTTGTTTTGCCTAATTCCTTTTCCAATTTCTTGCTTGGCACTAAAAGCCAAGGCCCAAAATCGTCTTCTTTATTGCTGTAGGTTTTTTGGGTCTGCCTTGACTGCCCCAGAGTCTCTTGTTGAGGGTGTGTGAAAGTAGGTAGTCTGCTGCTCCAAGCTTCACTCTCATAACCAAGATGACCACATCCAAAGCATATTTTCCTAAGACCTTCATACACAACCTGTTGCTTGTGCTTAGCAATGAAAACATGTGATACCAAAGGTATGGATGTGTTTATTTGAACACAAAGCCTTGCAAATCTCCCTCTAGATATGCCTTCGATTATAGCATCAATCTTGAGCCCTATTACCTTAAGGGTGAAAGAGTCGTAATACTCAATAGGCAAGTCAGGTAGGCAAACCCAAAGTACCGTAGTGTTGGTTTCTGCAGCTGATGGTTGGAAATTTGGCTCCCATTGTCTAACTCCAATGAATTATTGCCTGATGAACCATGGGCCTCCAGTGAGTATCCTTGTGGCATCACCAACTGATTGGAAGCGAGGATCATCGTAGCCTTCACCTAAGGCTATATATTCCATTTTTTCTTTAATTTTCCATAAGGTCACCAATTTTTCGATTAGGTATTGATAGTTATACCTTCGCCCATAGGTCTTGAAGACAATAGTGTTATCCCAAGGCTATGGTGTGACAGCCATCTAGTGGCTTGGCTTGGCG